TTTGACTTGTTCTAGATCCACTTTGAAAGCTTCTTGATTTTCTTCAATTTGTTCCATGGCTCTTAGTTGGTGAGATCTTGTTTGATATGGCGGCCAGGGAGTTGGTGGTTTCCTTCTACCAATGGTTCAACTGGAGAAGATTTTGAAAAATGATTTTTTGAGTTTTGAACTTATGAGATGCAAATGTTTTTATGAATGTATGATTATGTTTGAACGATGTTAAGAATTACAGTGTCTTATTCACTTGGGTATACATTTATATATATTTTTATAATATCATGTATTTTTTTAGGTTTTTCTTTTTTTTATTGGTGAGTATCTGGAAAATGAATATGCAAACAAGATAGGAAACACAATGCTTTTATTGAAGCACCAATTATCTTTAAAAGATAACACATTTCAGATACTGAAAATATTACAATTCTAAAGCAATAAATTTGCTATAAGGGAAATAAACAAAAGGAAAACAATATCCGAAGCCCGTTTACGGATGTATTATCTGAAGTGGTCAACCATTGTCCTGCACAGCTTGAGGAAATTGTCAACATCCTATGGGAGAGGGACCATTACACTTTATGCGTCCCTTAAGCTTTTGGGAGTGTCTTTAATGAGTTTATTAGCCAAGAAAGCGAGCTTTTCAGGCTTATCCTTGTAGTGTCGGTATTCTTGGTAGAGGTTAGGAATTATCTTGTGGTTATCTCTTCCTGCTTGGGCAATCTTTGCATATTGTTCCTCCCAATACATCTTTTCAGCCCTCAGCTCCATATAAAGTCTTTGTTGTATCAGGAAATATTTGTGGAGGCCTTCCAGCTCAAGGCATATTTGCTCGTACTCTTCAGTTTTCTGGGCCAGAAGTATTTCTGCCCTCATCTTTGCAAGGTGCTCCCTTACCTCTGATTCTTGACTATCCTGAAGCTTGGTAGTGAGATATTTCAACTTCTCTTCCTGATCTAGAGATGCTTGGGCTAATCTTTGGATTTGATCCTTCAACTCTTCCTCTAGTACTTTCTTTTCTTGTACGACTTTTTCATACCATCTGCTCAACTTTCTGATTTCATTAGCAGTGTCTTCTAGCCTCTGATTATGGGAATCTATATTAAAAGTAGCACTTAGCAATCCTTCGGTCGAGCGTTTCCTTTTTAGACTTTCCTTTTTCAAATGCTTTGCATTCCTTTTGAATTTGTTGGTCTTTCGATTCGAGTATGCACTGCATTTGTCTTTTCTCTTTGGTCAAGTTAAGGAGATTGAGCTCTAGTTCTTCCTTCACCCCCTGAGCATGCTTCAGTGCTTTATTCAGATCATCTACCTCTTCTAAAGACATAGGAGGAGTGACTTGGACCTCTTGCTTGTATTCGGGGTATATATCAAAAGGCAGCTTGATAATTTGTACCCTGTTTAGAACCCATTGAGTGTAAGGTTCTCTTGCTACCACATTCTTTTTTTCAGATTTTCTCTTGTTAACCCTAATCCAAGCCCGAATAATTTTATTGAGCAGCTCTCAGTCATTTCTACCTAAGTCATGAACGATCAATTGCTGGATTTGTTCATCTGAAGGCTTGTCTTCCAAAGGATGCCCTAGTTGTCGTACAACCAAGGTAGGATTGTAATTGACGCAGCCCTGTGACCCGATTAATGGAACATTAGGAAAATCCCCATAACTGTAGACAATATCACCAATATCTAACTTTCTGCCATACCATAACATAAAGCTAGTAGTGAGAGACCTTAACTTCTCAGGCCATTCATACCTTGTTAGATTCAGGATCAAGTAATCCTCCTTATAAAGGTGAGTCATGAACCAGGAGTATAGCAATGGAATACAACAATTTAGGGTACCTCTTTTCTTTTTGTACCGTGTATGAATGGTATAGTAGATATCAGCAAGTATAGATGGAGTTGGGTATGTATTAAAAGTCTTCGTACCCCAAAACCCACTGATGGCTGCAGGTTCAATATAGTCTACAGTGCATGGAAATAAGACAACACCAAATATAAGAATCCCCAGACATTCGACACAAGATTCACATTCTTTGTTATTTTCCAGATCAAGAGCTTTATTTTCCACATAACACCTCTTAATTCCTCTCACCTCTCCTTCTTTTTTATAATTAAGAGCAAACTCAGGATAACGGATTTTTAAACCTTCGAGAGTATTTTGATGTTGACGGTTTTCCCAATTCCCATATAAGCCTTCTCTTTGGAGAAATTCGGAATTCTATCCAATTCTTCCATGGTCGGAGCCAACTGAAAATCTTGAAATGTGAAGCATCTCAACAGAGGGTCATAAAATTGTACCAGAGCAGAAATAGCATCCAACTGTAATTCGACTTTGGTTAAGTCTAAAATATCCCCATAGTGATGAGTAAATGTTTTCAGAGCCCTTTCAGATAGTTTTTCCCTTACAACTTTGATTTTGGTCACGTCTGGCTTGATAGCGTTGATACAGACGAGTTTCTTTCCTTTAGTACTCAATTTCAGATACTCACCAAGAACCTTAGTTATATATATATATATATATATATATATATATATATATATATATATATATATATATATATATATATATATATATATATATATATATATATATATATATCCTATGAATAAGACAAACAGAAGCAAATGGAAGATGATGAATATATGAGATGTAAAAATGTATGAAGGCATGAGTATAAGGCTGAATGACGGGATTTGATGAACAATGTCCCTAGAAGGTGGGCTCTTAGCTTGGTTTTATGGATATTATACCCTCCCCATTAGGTGGTTTCCTTAAGGGTATCATGAATAACACTAGAGGGAAAGGCGTAAGGTCCTTCCTTAAGTGGAGTCTCTTTGCTGACTGAAACTTCCGTCTCTAAGTCGCGAAAGGTCTCATCATGAGATTTTGGTTTAAGTTTTATACAAAGAGCCACATGTGTCATTTCAAAGTCCTACTTCCCAAGAGGATGTCACTCAAGACGTATTTCTTTTACGGAATTCCACCGACTCTAGGCGAAGTCATCACATAAACTCATAGGGATCATGAATTCCTTTGGCTAATAGACGAACCTTCTTTCTATGGTTTTTTGAAAATATTTTTTGCAAAATTTTAATCCCGCCATAGATGTATAAATATAATGAACAATAAAACAAATTAATAAAGCAATAAAATAAATAAATAGATAAGAAAGAATAAAAACCCCAAAAAAATAAAACCCTAAAACCTAAAGGAGAGGCTTCTAAACCTAGGGTTGAGTCCCCAGCAAAGTCGCCAGTTGTTGCAACTGGTTTTTGAATAAGAGTCTCCACCCTTAATTTTATCCTAAGGAAGTGAATATAAAGGAATAACCCTAAAGTTCAGAGATTCTAGATTGTTGACTCAGTTCTAGACGAGGGGGAGGTGTTAGGTACCCCTCATCTACCTCGTTCACAAGGATACTAGGGTTATAAGCGCATTTTTTAGGAAAAAGGGTTTTAATGTTTTATTAAGGGAAATCTCCATGATTTTAATCGTGTGCCTGCGTATCCTCTTATGAGGAATCAGAGTTCCATTTTGTAGTTCGTGATTTGATTGGTGTTTTTTATGGGTCGGAAAGGTATCTCGAATTCTCCTTGAACCAAGTCCGGGTTTGTAAATTACGGAATCGTGGACGTAGCTCACAGTCGATAAAAGATATTAATACAACCCTTTTTGAAAATTAATATAGATTTGATTATATTAGTGAAAAAATGTTAGTGTTTGTGGGTTAACTATTTTCAAACGTACAATGCGATTATACAAAATAAATTGGAAGTGAAAAGTATGTGAATATAAAAAAGGGTTAGTATTTTTAGGAATAGCTTAATCAATAAATAAATATATTATGATTTTATTAAACACATATTAGATGTTATATAAAAAAACTATAATTATTATTAAATGTAAAAAAAACAATTTTGATGTAATAACAAATAAATAAATGAACCTATTTATAAAAGAAAAATAAATAAATTAAATTAATTCCACAGGGGGGTGTAAGATTAACTAACATAGTAAAAAGGTTGGGTGTTAAAAGCATGGGCCATAATCTAAATATTGGATTAAGCCTAGCAGCGCAGGGGGTGTAGTTTGTCAAGGAGTAGTAAAATTGTGGGTGCGAATAGCGTGGGCCAAAGCCCAGAACATTCACGTGAGAGGCCCAAGATAGTCTAGGTGAATTTGGATTTTGTAAGGTCAATGCGTGGGGTTACAGTTGGCGTGCAAAATTATGAATGTTTGATCATAATCATAGGGACATAAGGTGAGGGTGTATAGTAAGAGAGCATGAGATCACGTGACCAAATGTTGGCCATGTGTCATCAACGAGATTGAACGCGGAGGGAATATAACATCTCCTTTATGTTTATTCATTTCATTCATTCCTCATCTCTCTCCCTCTCTCTATATCCTCACTCTTCTCTCTTCTCCGCCAACTCAAAACAACAAACCTGAGCAAACCCTAAACCCAATTCCAACTGTGCAACCCTAGTCCTACCCAGATTCCCCACATTAACCCTTAAACCCCCGAATCGTAAAATAAAAAAACGCAAGTTGGGTATCAATCATTACCTCCTTCATATTTATGCGTTGTCTCTGATATTTGTGATTCTCAACCTTTTCCGTTTCTTTTGCAGGTACCAGCGGACGGTGATAATGATGAACGTGACGACAACATGGAGGAACGTCTATCAGATCTAGGGTTTCAGAAGCTGAAACCCATATCTTTTTCTTCTCCTTCTCGGTCTCTTTCAATCTTCATCCTCCAATATTTTTCTTTTCTTTCCTTCGTCAAAATTCTCCCTCCCTTCTGTAAATAAACTTTTTCTTTTCTTGTTGTAGTAATTTCCTTTTTTTCTCTAAAAGTTTTATTCGTTTTATAGAGTTTTTAGTCTAGGATTAGATTAGGAAAATAATAAACTTGTCTGTACATTGATTGTAATTTCATTAGGGTTTGAATTTTTTTCTTGATTTGTATGATTTTTTATGTAAATTGTATAAACCCTTAATGTAGTTTCTGCATTTGATTTCGCTTCTGTATTAGTCTAAGATATCGTCTATGTTCTTGATTCTGTTTGTAGCAATGCGTTTTTCCAATTGATTGATACAGTGAATGTTTATGCTTTGCAACAAAAAAGGTTTTCCGGTTTGGGTTGGGCTGCCTCATTATTGGGCCAAGCATTAATCTTTGGGCCTGTAACATATGCTTTTGTTTAACATTTTTATTAATTAAAAAACATAACTCTTTAAATCAATATTTGGATAATGTTCATAACTATTAGTATTAACAAGAATAATAATGATGAAAATAATGATAACAGAAGGGTTGACTCGGTCAATAGTAAAAATGGGACTAAAACTGATTGGGCTTTCAAAAAACGCAATGGGCCTATAAGTAAAACTTCTAATGGGCCACTATGCTCCAAATAAAACACATCCTTTTATAAAAACTAGTAGGTCGTCTGAAACAATTTTTATGGGCCTATAGCTTAATTGTTTAGCCCATTTGGAAAGATAAATTGCATCACGCACCCTTCGGCCTAAATGGGCCATTCTGATTTAGAAATGACCCAAGATTTCTTTAATAATGTGAACCTTCTCTCTATTCGATACACCCCCTTCTATAACTTAAATGGGCTTTTCTATTTTACAAAATACACCCATCTTCCATGTTTGAAATGGGCTAAAAATTGGCCTTTAACAAACACAAATGAACTTCCTAAAACACCCTCTCTTAAGAGAGAGAAACCTTAATGGGCCTTTATTAAAACATTTGTTCATACTTTCCTTAAAGCAACACACCTTCCTTAGCTTAAAAAAAGGACTTTTATTAAACTTAATGGCCCATCAGATGTTGATGGTCCATTTTGGATCGATAAACCCCTCTTTGATTTTAAATGCTTCTAATGAAATAAAACCTATACAACACGATATAAGGGTAGGGCAAATTTTGGGTATGACAGTAAGTATACCATATATCTAATAATATTTTTTACTAATAATAATAGTATATTTTATCTTTCACCAATATTATTATTATTATAACATAGATTAAGTTTAATTCTAATTATCTAATTAAAACTAAGTTCTCTCGTACCCTTAGCCATGCCTGCATACCCTTAGTTATGCCAAAATAATTCAAAATCAACAAACAATGACTAAATATTTAAATAGGGTGTTAAAACTCTCCCCCACTTAGCATATTTTCGTCCTCCAAAATTACCTTATGCGAATAATTTTGGATAAGACTCCCGCATCTTGCTCTCTATTTCCTACGTCATACTTTCTCCGACAACTCCTCCCCAAACTACTTTCACGGGAGGAATTTCCTTGTCCATAAAATTCTTCATTTCACCGCCTTCGATCCTTACCGACAAGGTCTCAATCGTAAGGTTATCTCTCACTTGCACGTCATTCATCAGAATCACATGAGATGGATCTGAAATGTACTTCTAAATTTGTGACACACGGAACACATCATGCAAATTAAAAAGTTTAGGTGGCAAGGCCACCCTATAAGCAACAGTTCCCACTTTGTCCGAAATCTAATACAAACCAATAAACCGAGGAGTAAGTTTCTTCGATTTCAATGACCATCAGACACCGGTCACCGGTGTGACTCTCAAAAATACATGATGTCCCTCTTTAAACTCAAAGTACTTACTCCATTTTTCATGGTAACTCTTCTTCCCACTCTGCGAAGTTTTCATCGTTTACCGAATTAGCTTCACTTTTTCTATAGTCTATTGGATAATTTCCGGCCCAAGCACTACGCTTTCACTAGATTCATACCAACACAACAGAGTCTTACACCTCTGACCATACAATTCATCAAATGGTGTCATTCCAATGCTAGAATGATAACTATTGTTATAAGTAAACACTATCAATGGAAGGTAGCTATCCCACGTTCCTCCTTGCTCAAGCACACATGCTCTCAACAAATATTCCAATGATTGAATAGTAATCTCCGTCTGTCCATCTGTGTGTGGATGATATGCTGAACTCAATCCCGACTTAGAGCCTAACGCACCCTATAGACTCTCCTAAAATCCAAAAGTGAACCTTGGATCTCTATCAGGAACAATGCTAGATGGTACACCATGAAGCTTTACAATCACATAGACATAAATCTCTATTATTTGTGGTACCGAAAAATTGATATTGATCGGAATAAAATAAACTGACTTCGTTAGCATATCAACAATCACCCAAATTGTATCTTTCCCCTAGGAGTACTCGGCAACCCCGTCACAAAGTCCATCGAGATACTATCCCATTTCCACCCATGAACATCTAACAGTTGCATCAATCCTATAGCTTTCAGATGTTCGACTTTCAACTTCTGACAAGTTAAACATGCATACACAAAACATGCCACATCTCGTTTCAACTCGGACCACCAAAACAACTTCTTCAAGTCTTGATACATCTTAGTCTCACCTAGATGAATACTCAAGTTACTTTTATGGCTTTCTTACAAAATCATCTTTTTCATCTCGGAGTCATCACGATTACAAATTCTATCCCGGAATCTCAACACACCTTGCGCGTCTACTTTGAAATCACTATCTTCATACTGATTACCTCCAACCATCAAATCTACCAATTTGACATCCAATTTTTAAGCCTCTTTAATATTATTCATGAAGTCATTCTTGATCTTCAACATTCCTAACATAACACAATACGACATTACTTCACAGACTAAACTCAAGTCTCTGGACTACTCGATCAACTCTAGTTCTCTAACCATCATGTTAGACATATATAACAATTTCTGACTTAAAGCATCTGCAACAACATTAGCTTTACTCAGATAGTAATTTAAGCTAATATCGTATTCCTTCATCATTTCTAGCCATCTTCGTTGTCTCATATTCAATCCCTTTAACAAATATTTCAAGCTCTTGTGATCACTAAATACTTTAAATTTGGAGCCGTAAAGATAATGCCTCCAAACCTTTACTACAGCTAAAGATTCCTTTCATGAGTTTGATAATTCCTTTCATGAATCCTCAAGATAATGCCGTAAAGATAATTCTAGGTCATGAGTTGGATAATTCCTTTCATGAATCCTCAATTGCCTCGACGCATAAGCTACAACTTTATCATTTTGCATAAGCACACCACGTAAACCAAATTTAAAAGCATCACAATATACAACAAAGATTCTTTAGGATTAGGTAATATTAAAATCAGAGTTGTCAATTTCTTCTTTAGCTCGGTGAAACTTTCCTCACACTGGATATCCCACACAAATGCTTTGCCTTTACAAGTCAGCTGAGTCAATAAAAGTTCTAACTTAGAAAAGCCTTCAACGAACCTTCTATAATAACCAGCCAAGCCTAAAAAGCTTCTAATTTCTGTAACCTACTTTGGAGTCTCCCACTGCAATACTGCATCTACCTTGGAAGGATCTACGGTAATACCACCGCCTGAAATAACATGACCAAGAAAACTAACTTTCTCTAACCAGAACTCATACTTTTACAACTTCGAATATAGCTTCTTATCTTTTAACACTTGTAATACAATCCGCAAATGCTCAACATGCCCTTCCTCTGATTTGGAATCTATCAAAATATCATCAATGAATACGACTACAAACTTATCCAAGTAAGTGTGAAAGATATGGTTCATATACTCCATAAACACTCTTGGTGCATTGGTAACACCAAATGGCGTCACTGAATACTCATAATATCCATATCGAGTACTAAAAATTTTCTTCTGAATATCATCACCTTTGACTCGAATCTGGTGATATCCCAATCTCAAGTCAATCTTGCTAAATACATGTGCACCCACATGTTGATCCATTAAGTAATCTATTATTGGAAGTGGATACTTGTTTTTAATTGTTACTTTATTCAATTATCGGTAATTGTAGCAGTAGAAATGTTGAGACTAAACCGTTGGATTGACTTAACTCGCACAAATCAAATAAAAATCGCCATCGCACTTTAATGTTTCCAAAGGAAATAGGAAAAGAGTGAATAAACCCAAAAAAGAGAGGAGAGAGAATCTAGGTACGGGGGTTGGTTATGCAAAGGGAAGGTATTAGCACCCTAAACATCTATGGTACTCCACATGAACCTCTTTGAAAACCTGTGTATTTTGGCCATAAAAGGTGTCTACAAAAATAGATGGTGGAGATGAGAATAAAAGTGGTTTTTACAATTTTTGCACCCGCCGCGGTTGCGAGCCTTTAGTACCTACGTACCACCTTCCATGCAATAGGGGATTAGGGTACTCGTAGTTCACCTCAAAAATTTTAAAACACGTGTGTGTTGGTTAATTTTAAGAGAAGAGATATCATTGTCATATCCGATTGGAAGATATACTAACTACGCACAATTATGAGAAAGGAGAATTTACATCATCTCAAAATGGAGGATATATCTTGGATTTTAAAATAATCAAAGCTCACTGAACACCAAAGTGAAAAATATCTCACTGAACTACATACCATAGAAGTATAGTAGCTCACATCACTACAAGAATCAACAAGAGTTTAGTCTTTTGAGAAAAAATTTAAACTAAAAAGCCAAAGTGGAAAAATAGTTTGAATGAGGTTAATTAACTTTTAGTATTGATAAAGATGTCAAAGTATGGTTAAGGTGATTAAAGTTTGATTAAGAACAACTTTTTGAAAATACATGGACTTAAGTCCAAGTTTATTATGAAAGCGGTTCAAGTTAGAAAACAAGAAGAGTTTTGAAAATGAGGTTGAATATTTTTTAAATTAAAGAAGATAGGAGGAGATGAAGGGACTATCCAAAAGCATAAGGTAAAAGCCAAGGAAAAGATAGATCTAACCAATAAGATGCCAACACTAGACATATGAAGTCAATGTAGAACTCACATCCTTTGGATTGAAACCAAGCAAGCAAAAATACTAAACCTCTAGGAAATATCGAGCTTCAGATAAATTAAGTCTTCACAAAAATTGGGCAAAGTAACGGATGTACACAGAGGAATTCTCAATCAAAATTAAAGCATATATCAGAATAACCTGCACATAAAGAAAAGCAACCCAATGCTTTAGAGTAAACCCCAAGAACTCCAGACAAAATAACAACAGAGCCACAAGGCCCAAAAGTATCGAGACTTCTAATCCTAAGTCCGAGAGATCCACAATTCCACAATGCCAAGGATAGTAACCAAGTAGTCCAAGTAACCTTAAAGTTTTTTAAAATA